AATTCTTCCTAGAAAAAAGATCAGATTAATATATGTAGATTACTTGGGAATGTGATTAACTGTTTTTAATATTTCATTTTCATGGGATGTACTGTTGGTTAGCAAGTAAAGGAAGTATTAATCCTGACTCAGCAAATGATCGATGTCCTTTTGTCTTTTCATACATGTTTTTGATTCCTAGACTGCTCCCTAATGGTCTATTAAAAAAAAAAGTAAAACAAAACATTTTGAAATATGCATTCTTGGTGCAGGCCAAACAAGATTACTTATTCTTGTTAGTGAACTCTGATCTTTTGTATCTTGATGTACACAAAACATCTTCTTCATATCATAGAACCACCAAGAACCATTTTCAGTGCATTAGCCTGCTTACTATCATAGTTTGCAGACTAGTGATTACCTGTCCTCTCCTTTTTGAACCATAAAGATTGTGACCCCTTGCTTGCAAAATAAAAGGGATAGATTCACTATTTGGATTTCCAACCAGCTTATTTGTATACATGCCACACAGCAAATTTAACTGGGCTACTACTTTCCAACACAGCCTGCTGCACTTTTGTAAGAGTATCTGTCTCGATACGTTTTAGCTATAATGAAATCTATCTTAGAAAGCTGTCAGTCACTTTTACCCTGGAAGTCATCTTTTTTTTTTTCTTTTTCCTCAGCCCTTGTATTTTAAATAACTACAGAGTCAAAGAAAGTAAGACACACACACACACCCTCCCCATTACACTGACCTTTTTAATGGCATTCGGATTTTTCAATAATATTGATGGTCCAAGTCAGAGGAAAAATTCCTTGCTAAGTAGAACTGTGTTTCCTAGAGGGTTAAATCCTGTTTCAGACAAATTCAGTAAGAACCTACTCTCTTTAAACATGTAGGACTAGGCACTGAAAAAACATTCACCCGCAGAAGGGAGCTCAGGGGCATCTCTTTTCTCACACCAGGTCCTAAGAACTGAAGTTAGACACACACAGAGCAGCAGAGCATCGGACTATTCCTATGAGACAGTAACCTCTCCTCTTTTATTTCCCTCCTCTCTCACAAAAACACTCTGGCTGCAAGCTACACAGTCCTGCCTGAGTTTCAGGGCTTCACGGTAGATCTGCATGGACTTGGCCAACAGGTCTCCACTGAGGCTGACATGAAGGCCCAGCACAGGCTGTGGTGTACCACGGATGTCAGCGAACTTCGCCTCTGTGATTGCCATGAGCGCTGTGACAGTAGTTTACAAAAGCCCTAATAAAGGCCACCGGGAGACAGCCAGGCTCGGGATCCCTTCTCTGGTAGAAGTTCTCCGAGCTCAGAGGGCAAGGTGAGGTGTAAGGAAAGTCAGTGGGGACATCTCCAAGGAAGAAGTGAATTCTTCAGTTTAATGATTCATATAAAGCTTGAACCAGCAAACCGGTTTTGTATCTATCCAGCTTTAAGCGCTTAACAGACCCACTGATGCTGGGAGCAGAATAATTAAAATTTGCTAGGTCATGGGCTCTTTCATTCTGGCTAATCACAGATTATTTCTGATAAGCACAAAATGCAGTGGCATTACAAGGCTTTTCTTACAAGCAAAGGGTACCAGCAAAGGTCTGGTGTTTCCCTCTGGTCTCCATGAGTACAGTCAATCCAGCTGAAACCTAACACCACCACTGCTGGGATGGCTGGCTTTCAAAAGTAAGCCAAGCTGGACTCAGAAACTTAATCAAAAGAAAAGAGGGCATAGGGTGGTGACAGTCAAAAGTCTGTAACACATCTCATCTTGAGCAAACCACAGGATGATCACAGCTGAGCCAGCCTTCCTCTGAGGGCAGACAGTGCCTGAAGGGTGAGGAGAAAAAAGGACAAAGCTTTCTCATTTGAGTTCCAGCAAGAGGATGCCCCATAACATTATCTGCACAACTAGACATTGCCCTCTCTGTTGTTAAATTTAAGAAGTGCTTACACGGTAGTCTGACTTGAAAAACAGAGCTTAAGTATCCAGAGTGGTGTCAGGCTAAGAAATCAGGAAGCCATTTCATCTCCAAGCACCATTTATACTCTTTCTCACCATGAGCCATACCCTGTAGTTTTTACCTGAAGCCTCATTTTCTTTTGCTTAATATGCCTCCTGAATTTTAACATGGGTAGCACTTGTGTGCTTCGTTCAGCACTTAGTTGCCTAAAATACAGATTAAAAAGTATCAAAATATGGATTTATAAGCAACTTTGGGGCATTTGGTTCTGAAGAATAGCTCCTCCTTTTCTTAAATGTTAATATGAAGATTGCCTGACAAAGCCAAAAGGAGAATTTGAAAGTTTGATTCATTGCTTAATATCCAGTTCTAGCTTTTTACAAATATCTATTGTCTTGTCATTCATAATTTCTGTTATATTCCTTCCATGCATTTATTTGACTCAACAGTTAAATTAGATAATGTTGAATTCACCTCAACATTTATGCCTGGCAACAGCCTTTGTGGTCACAAGGTGATGATTTCCTTAGAGGAACCTAGCAAAAGTGGAAGGAATGTGGGGTGTGAGAGGGAAAAAAAAAAGCTTTTGTTGAAACACAAATATTTTCTGTGAGACTGATTGGAGCAATTATAGCTCTGGCACTGTGATAGTGAGGGGATGTGGGAATAAATACCAGCCAAGATTTTCTCTCACTATAAATATTCTCTTTTTTTCTAAATTGGCTCAGGCATGGTCTCTGCTCAAACCCCTCCTCTCTCCTTACCAGAGGACCATTATCGGGGCCACATTTCTCTGCCACATCGTGTGGCAGGAGCACCACAAATCGTTACCCGAATTTCATGTCACAGCCCCCAGTATCCCATTTTGCACCAGCAAAGGAGGCCAGTGGCAGCACGACCCAGGGAGAAGGTGATGCTGGATATAGCAGTTACCCTTCAGACATTCCCTGTTCCTTAGATAACTGCATAGCATGGCTTGTGCACAGCAGTCTCTATACCCACGCTTAGAGGTCACGCATATTTTGCAGTATAGTTATTTGGTTATCAAAGGTATAGCTGATGTTTCGGATAAGGACTGGGATTTTCTATATATAATTAACAGTAGGGGGTGGTGCTTTTTTTGATAATGGGATTTTTAGATGCTGGAGGTTGAAAGAGAGTGGAAAAGAGATGCACATATGATCTTTCATATAAAGTAGTCTGGTGATAATGCCCAGCTCATGCTCCCTTCGCTCACCCTTTGATGTTCAGACCATGCATCAGATGTGAATGGAATGACTGACAGTGCTGAAACAATGCATAGTGTCTAATGAGCTCACTGGGGCTTATCACTCCCGGTTTTGACATTTTAATTTGAGCCCCTCAGCTTCTAACAGTTTGATTCACCCTTTTGTTTGCCCACAGCCCTGTGTTGTTGAAAACTGGCCATCTCCAAGTCATCTCCAGAAGACAGAGACAGTCCTTCCCATGTATCACAAACCTCTCTAACTGGTGTCTGCAGGTGTACCTGTCCCCCATGGCTTTCCAGTACTGACTGCCATCCTGCTCCAGGATTTGCCTTGTGAGGCCAGTGTCTGCCACCTGCCTGCCTTCACATCCCATACATCTTCGCCTTGAGGAGGCAGTGGCAAAGGAATTTGGCTTTGCCTGAGCAACCACAGTAACTCCTGTGTAGACCACAGGACAACTGCCCTCCCTGGCAGACCTTGGGAATCCCCTGCAACATCTGTGTGCATCCTTGAGATGCTGCGTAAAGCATTTGCTGCAGACAGACTGGATGGTGCTGAACAGATGGACCAAATGCTGGGCTTGGATAGGACCTCTCCTCCTCACCATGGGGCCCTGCCAGACACCGCTGTGCAGGTGAGCTGCTCCAGCACGTCCCAGAGAATAACTGGGACCACTCACACGGGTGCTACTGAGGGGTAGGAAGTGCACTGACTCTGAATCCTTACACAGCAAAGATGCTCTCAACATCTTCGTGACTTCTATCAAAAAAATGGGTTAGACAGGTTTATGTGAACATCACAGACACATTGCTGACTGACTGGATATAATGCCATTTAAGCAGATAGGAACTGTAATATGAGATAAGAACTGTTAAGTTGTTTTCTTGCAGTCACAAGAGACTATGACTGAACCTTCCTAAAACCTGCTGTTAATGGAGGAGGGACAGAGTTTCTCTGCAAATACCAAATACCATTCCAAAACTCGGGATCCTTTGTTATTTTGAGATCCTCTCACCCTATCAATCACTGCAATTTATTCAGCTCCTCGAGGCATTTCTTTCTGCAATGGTCCTACAGGGGAAAGCAGCTCATGGCCTCACTTGCTTCTTACAGAGAAATTCTAGCTACTCCTGCTCTGCAGGACCCCGCAGCTCTGATGCCCTGGCTGTGGGACAGCTTCACCCATGGGTGAGGTCTGGGCTTGCACTAACCCCACCACAGCATCCTACATCCTTGTGTGTGCACAAAGAACGCTTGGGCACATGGACCAGACAAGAGCTGTGCCATTCCCCAAGCAGCTGCTAGGCTGGATGGTGAGTCAATTAGGACCCCAGGTAGCCGACTGTCAGGTAAATCAAAACACAGCCTTTGTGGTCGAGTGGATAACGCTGGGACTCAGACTCTGCCCTAAACTTCCTATGGGCACGTCAGCGTGATTCCCCTGTGTTAAGGACTGCCTGTCTTTAAAAGGCAAAATGCTACTCACTCAATGGCCTAAGAGCTATAGATGAAAATAAATCCTAGGTTTGGTCTTTATTTTGGTGGCTCTGGCTCTGTACATCAGCAGGTCTACCCAAGTTAAGAAAAGACTCCATTTAGTACGTGTCATTTTAATCTTTGATTAGTTTTTAGCATTTGAATAATGGCTTTTGTGACAGCTGTGATACGTCACATTTCCAGGCTTTTAGAGGGGAATAATGAGTCTCATGACCTTTCACTTCTCAAGAGTCGCTCAGCCACTGAACTCTGATGCCGCACGCTGCAAATAATCATTTCAGCTGGCTAGGGCTGGGTAATCCCAGCATGACATTTCATATCCAGTTCAATTTTCAATGATTTATTTGTAATTTCTGCTAAACCACAAAGTCATCCAGCACTTGGCTGCTAGATCAGTAACAGATAACCCTTGCCAACAACACAGTTTGTTTTGAAGGCCAATATAACTAGGAGACTGAGAATAAGTTGATAGGTTAAGAGGTTGTATGTGGGAACTGATGCCCATCCTCTGTCCGAACACCAGCTTCCAGAGCGCAGTGCTGTCATCGGCTGACCTTCCTCTCTTTTCCCCTGCTGCCCTTGGCCTAAAGTAAAAGCACCTTTCTGTAGTCGGAGCTGAGCCTGAGAAAGAAGAAACTCACAAAAATATCCTTTCAGAAAAACAGAAAGGCTTCTTAAGAACAAGTCCTCGTGCTTTTGCCTTTGTCACAGCATACACTTCGGTACCGGCGCCATCCAGGGCCCCAGGATATTTTACACTTTAGCTCTCAGATCCGATCCAGCCTGGTCAGTCCTGTCCTCGCTACAATCGTGTGCTGGGAGTGTCAGCCTCACCTTGGGTTACTTCTTGGGAGCCTTTCCCAACAGCAGCATCCCAGTCCCCTCTCTGCTGCGGCAGGTACATCCCTAGGAGTTGCACTCCTCGCAGTGGCAGGAGAGGATGTAGCGGTAGGTGGCAGTGAGCCTCATGCCCCCCGAGCATCGCAACCGCATGGCCTTCAGCTTGGAGGTCTGGGGCCGGCAGCAATGGCAGGTGGAGCGGAAAGGTTGCTTCAGGACGGTGCTGAAAGAAACCATGGGCTCCGAGCGCGACGTCTGGCTGCAGCGCCCTTCGCAGCGAGCCAGCAGCACCATCTGCGAAGGAAAAGAGACGGGTTAGGAAACTTGCCCCGGTGGCTGCCAGCACACAGCTAACACCAGCAGATGGGTACGTCCTTCCAGTCTGGCTGGTCTTTCTTCACTTACCGCATCTCCCCACCTTGGTGAGAGCACCCATCCCCACAGCGGGCATTGCCTGTGAGCTGTGTCTGAGAGAGCGGAGGAGAAAATATGGGCAGGAGGAAAAGCAAGGCTCCATCTGGAGACCCAGGCACCAACATCAATAAGGACTTCAGGCCCTGGTTTTCTGAAAGCTGACCTTGGGGCTCCAAATGATCCCAGCCAGCCCTGCTTTCCAGGCACGGTGACTGCAACTGTGGCTTGCTGACCCCAGATTTGTGGCAACTGAGCCCTTAAATCATCAGCCAGACTGATACTTTGGTTGGATATTTTCCAGTGTTTTGAGTGTATATACTAGTGATCAGCAGAACTGGTCCTTGGGGCCAGTGAATGTCTCAAATACTTAGATATATAAACATATAAAGTAGAAATATAAAGAAGATGCTCAGTTTATTGCTTCTAAAGAAGTAAGTTTCTAGCTCCCTCCTTTTACAAAGATCACCTTGAGTATGTATTTGCAATTACATGTGTGTGTATATATATCTATAATTGCATCAGTTGTATCTGTATAAAATGCACTGCATAGCATAAGACAGTAAAAACGTAAACAAGATTAACTTGTTGCCAAACATGAGGGTTCACTAGTGAGATCTTCCAAAAGCACTGCAGGCTCCATGGTTCTTATTCTGAGTTCACCAACTGAGCTGTGACCAGAACGAGGTAACTTGCACAATAGAAGGCACTAAGGAAGGAAAGCCCGTGGGGAGTCACTTACTTCTCTTCCGAACACCCCTCGTTGAGCAGAGGAGATGGATAGACTCTACTAAGCTCTATATAAAACATGGAAAGGATCTTCTAAAGCTCAGGAAATTGTGTGGTCAGAAACAGCTGTTACTACCTTGATAATGGTTAAGTGTTGGACAAGTTTGAACAAGTTCTTATACCTTCGTGGAGAATGAAATATTAAGTCCATATCAGCTAATTCTGCTTAACCAACACAAATTTCAAAATCAACTGACTGTATCATCCAAACAAGGTCAAAATGTGACAGAGATGAGAAAGTAGGCAGTAAACTGATTCTAAGTCTATCCTATAACCAAGGAAGGAAATTACATTTTAACCATGCTGCACATATCTCATGGTTTTTCCAGACAATCTAAAAGGATAACTACGGATGTGACAGCAAATATTTTACAAAGTTAAACCTTTTTGAGCTTCTTTTACTACACATGCTCAAGTGGCTGCAAATCTCCAAGTCTTGCAAGCAGGTATGTCAAATCTTAGTTTTTTCTTTAGTCAGAGTCATAAGGAAAGATGAGAGAGAAAGAGAGAGAGAATATTCCTGGTATCAAGTAGGAAATACCAGCACTGTCTGTGTCTACGGGAAAGGCACTGGTCATCTATTGTACACTGCTTAAAAATTACTCTTCCAAGAGTACTTGCATGCTAAATGGTTTGCTTGGAAATGTATTAATATATTAATGACTACAATTCCAGTCAACACAGACAGATCACAAGGAAGATGTCTTCATGAGCTGATGATCTGGGGTTGGTACCATCTCGTTTCTTGGTTTAAGAGATCACGTTTTGTTGCTTTCCAAAAAATTTGCCATCCTTCATGATTTGTAGCGTAAATTTATGGTCCCCTTCTTGTGACATTCATAAGCAAATTCGCTTCAGCTGTTAGTAGTAATATGGTGAGAAGGAAATTTCAGTGTACCGTTGAGCCACACCCCGGCTTTAGATGTACCAGGTGTATCGAGCCCCTTAATACCAATTTCTTTAGTGTATATGAGAACAGGGAAAAAGACAATCATTACAGTGCTAGCACGCCATTACTGATAGATAAAGGTCTACTTTTGTCCCCTTGGTAAACAAAACTCACTTCCCATAGTGACAGGCAGCTGGTAAAGAGCTAGACAGGTATCTAATCCTGCCTGTATTGCAAAGGAAAGACAGCAGATTGGGACGTTTAAAACAGTTAGTTCCCTTCCCAGCATCTTGACAGCTCTTGTTCTGTCCTCCACTTTGACCAGTTCCCTGGATGGCGTGCACTCTCTGTCACAGGCTATTCCCAAGCGTTTGGCTGAAGAGGAGGGTGAAGAGCAATCCAACGGCAGCTGGCAACTGCTTGACGGTTACAAAGAGAACAGAGCCAAACTCTCCTCAGGAGTGGCAAAGGGGGATGTGCAGTGTCCACAAGTGCTTTTGGGGAGGTTCAGAGGACCTCCAGAGTCCCTTCCAACCAACATTTCTCTGATTCTGTGATTTCAGCCCAAATATGACAGCACGGGTTGCTATATGGTAGAGGTGACTTCTGATGGTTGGTGCTTCTGGAGCTGGAACAGTTAGTCACTTCTGGTACTGTTACTCTAAGGACTTTTTATGGCACACATCTGCTCCTGTGTCTGCAGGTACTTTCAGAAATGCCAGGAAAAAAAATAAACCCCTGAGGAACAGGATTAAGGACTACAGAAGAGTTGCAGTAATGTAATTATAGGGTAGAATTATCTGATGTGCCAATATCTGTGTCTCAATACATTTCTTATGAACAGCAAGCTTTCTAATGCAAAATCAGTCAATATTTCTTCAATGTGCAACTGCATTTATAATTGCTTAGCAAGCCTTGTCTTTAAAAGCATGTTTTAGTCTGTGGAGACTCTAATTTTAATCTCAAATTTTGCTAGCTACTTAGTTTTTAGTAAGAGTATGGTCAATATTAATATCATGTAAAATTACACAGTGTTGGTTTTATGCCCTGGTTTTAGATGAGAGTGTAAACTTTTACAAATGGCACAGGACCACAGGTATCAAGTCAAACTTGCAGGATAAAAAAATTTCAGATTTCCCGTTTTGATAGCTTTCTAAATTTCTGGGCTAACCTGAAGTCCTCAGCAAAATTTAACCTCTTCCTCCTCCTCATAAATCCAGAAGAGCACCAGTGGATTTTGGCAGGTGTGCAAATGAGCTGGGAATAGCATGTACTTTAAAAGCTTTGCTTTGCCATTTAGTCAATCGCACCAGCTGCTTATTGCATCGTATACTATAGCGCAATAGAGATTATCACCTAAATAATTAGTAATGCTATGATGGCATAGCACAGTAATACAGTGGGTGTATATATAGTAAAAATGTGTGGGTATTTTATAACCTGATACGCATGCCTCTTGGCTCCCCTCATCCCCCGCACAAGTGAGCTTCTGCATGTCACCTTGCGATGCTGGATCCAGAAGCACAGCGTGCTACAACGTGGGAACCGCAGGGTTCTCGTGTACGAGCAGCTATGGAAGAATAGGTTTTCTTAAAGTCAGCAGTCATGTAGGTATCTGGTAGGCCACAAAAGAGAGCAACCTGAATCTGAGGCAATATTTGACTCCGATCATTCAAGCCGTATTCTGGAAATTCAGAAGTTGTGAACCGGTTTGCTATTAATGGTGTTTGTAGTCCTCTTTTCCACTCTCTTCAGCAACAAACTGAGGCCCAAAAGCAGATGGGCTGAGATGCATGAGAACAGACTTCCACACAGTATCCGTGGCCCGGCTGCAAGCAGGCATTACTGAAAATCTCCTGTGCTACCTTATGAGTAAATGTCTGCAAACATTTGCTAAATCTTTCTTCATCTGGCCCGTGTCTCTCTGGGCTGGATTCTTTAGTGCGAGGCTGTCAGTGGTAGCACACTTCTGGCACATCTGGAGGAAGCACTTGTGACAGCCAATACTGTAATTTAGGAGGCTCTGGTTGCAGCGGCCAGGCGATCCAGCACATCGGTGAAGACCAGTGGGTCTCTGGGACAGAGGTCAGGCAGAATCCAATATGGTCAGGAAAGGCAATACCACACGAGCTGATACAAACATTTCCTTGAAGTCAAAGGAAAACACTGTTTTTCAGGAGCAAATGACCTTCTCCCATCCCTCTTTTGTGTCTCTTTTATACATTCTGTTACTATAATGGACTATGTTTCCAAAGGCTTTGGAAACCTGTTTTCAACATCTGCCTGAGGTCACAAGCAAGAGGGATTTTAATGATTAAATTATATTGAGTGGATGTTTCCAAATGTAACAAAACTACTTCCCATGTGGGTACAATTGGCAGCCTCCACAGAGAAGCACGGTGGACATAATCCTTTTTTAACCAAGACGGACAGCAAACATAATACGTCTTGCAATTTCTGAAACCATTTTTAACTTCTGTAATTCTATGCTGCACTAGAAGGGAAAATATACAGAGTGAAAAAGGATGGCTCAATGGAACCAATATATCACGCCAAAAAATGGCAAATTCTCTGTTTGGCATCAATTGTCAGTCCAAGCTTCACAATGGAAACTCGGTGGAAACAAGAGGTACCGCAATTCCCACAGCTACTCCCGCAGAACCTTCCTTTTTTTGACTTGTTTATATTTAATCACAATATATATAAGGAACAGACATTGCATCTAATTTTCATTAGCAAGTCTAATGCTGGTCTGTGTTTATGTATTATATCCAGAACAGAAGCCATATGTCTACCAGGATGATTCAGATCCCTGAGACCTTAAAAAAAAAAAAAAAGAGCTTGATTTAACAAACAGAGAGAATGTCAAAATTATTTCACTTTGTATGGAAACTGTTTTCATTTTCCACTTCGTGAGAAAGTCCATACAACTTGCAATATTGTTAAAAAACTGTTCTTGAAACCGTTGTGGAATTTGGGAAGCCAAGAGATGTGATAATATTTTCAAACATGATTTCCATTAAAGGCTTGATTTAAAAAAAGTCACTGACATTTTTGCAGTCAGAGTTACAAATGTTTATGTCAACAGCTTTTTTCTCAAAGCTCAGTTTTGAAATAATATGGTTTTCATTACAATGCATTCTGTGTTCTCATTTCCATCAGTCCCACTTCTAAAGGCCTGATTGCTTTCCTCTGTCATTAGGGATGCTAAGAAATTGAGTTGCTGGTGGGTTTCCTTCCTTCCTTCCTTCCTTCTTTCCTTCCATCTTTCCTCCCTTCCTTCCTTCCTTCCTTCTTTCCTTCCTTCCTTCCTCCCTCTTGTTCTTTCTTCAGAAAAATAACCCTCCATCTGATGTCTGTGGCAGCCAGGGTTTTAAGAAAAACCCAGAGGATGGTGATGGCGATGGTGGAGCGAGGAAGGCAGCCACACAGTGAAAGGGCATCGTTGAGGTGTGCAGGAGCATGCCGGACCCACCGGCACATCCCAGCCATCGGGCAACAAACCGGCAGAGTCCTGGACAGGCGCAGTAGCAGCTCCCCATCACGTGGACCAAGGAGCAGCCCCCCACCTAATACAATTATCCGAAAAGCCTCCGCCAGGAGAGCCAGACGAGGAGCAAAAGCCCTTGGGCTGTGTAGGAAGCAATGCCCTCAGCATGGAAGAAAATCATGGCCAGACGGGAGGCACGGGCTGACTGCAGGGCAGGCAGGAGGGTGTGGAGCTGCGGGGCTGGGAGCACTGGGGCAGCAGCCTCGGGACCAGTGCCCGGCTGGCCCAGGGACAGGAGAGTTTGGCTGCGGCAGTGACCGCTGGAGAGCTGGTGGCGATGCGGGGCCAAGCGGAGGCAAAGCCGGGCTGTGGGAACCCGCTACAGCCGGGGAATGGGGATGGGTGGGCGATGGCCTGGGTGAGAGGAGAGACCGGGATAGAGCAGTCTTCTGGCCCCAAGGCCAGGGAAGCCCCATCCTTCATGCTCCAGGATGGATTTGCCTCAGGGGCTAGCCTGGGACCTGTTGTGTTTATCCTCTTATGGCTGAGGCACTGTGCCCAGGTCAGCTGAAATCTGCATTTCTCACCGCCACAGTGAAGTCGCTGCTTGTTACTCATTTACTCTTCTGCGTGTAGAGGGGCACAGGGGGTTCCTACCCAAAGCTGGAGACCAAAGGGCCTCTGGGGTCTACCTACCATCTTGCCTAAGTTACATATGACAGCTCCTCCTGCTCTCTGGCACAGCACGGAGCTGAGAGAGAGGGCCAGCTGGGTGAGGCATCATCCATACTGGACTATACTGGACCATCGCGGTAGCTACGGCTTCTCTGGTCTAATAGGTGATCTGAAGTGCCTTGAGAGAGGAGGGCTGCTAGCACCCACATACCAGTGAGTAAAACCCACCCACACTACCAGCATACCTACACTTTTCACCTTTGCCTCTCACTGGAGTCAACAGCAATAAAATCAATATTGCACAAACAGATGCATCTCTGCAGTTTGTATGTTAATGGTGGATGTTTCCCAGATGGTGGGAAGGTGTAGTCTAGGCTAAAAGCAGACCACAAGATCTGTCCTGAATCACAAATAATGCATAATTTTACTGTTTGAACTCAGAAGCAGTAGGGCAAAACTCTCCGATCTCCCACTTCTGTGGATCAGGCGTGGTTATGCAAAGCCACACAGACAGCGCTGCTGTGCGACCAGTGTAAGGCAGCCCAAAATGGGGCTTTCCCCATGCTCAATTTTGAGGCCATCAGCCAGTCTCTGGCGAGCAGGCACAGGGCAAGCCCCGCTGAAGGTGCACAGCCAGGGCAGCACCCGTCCTGGTGCACAGGAGGAGCGCAGAGCACCGAGCAGGTCTTATTTTCTGTTGACGCTTCTCTCTGTACTTTATTTTAAATTTTATGGCCCGCTGCTACCTGTGATATTACCTCACCCCTGCGCTGACTATGGGACACAAATAACTCATTCTGCACACAAAGGCATCTGGGGGTCTCCACAGCCAGCGCTGCATCCGTCTGAACTGTGTGGATCCTCTCTCCTCAAAAATGCTCCCAAGATCTCCGCTGCTGGGGTTTGCCATCAGGCTACACCACAGGCAGCCCTCTTGTCCTAAACCCCATCATGTACCTGCCTCCCATCGCTCTTTTACCCAACACAGGGCTGGCAAAAGTGTTGGTGCTGACAGTTGTTCCTTTTCATTAATCCAGGGATGTGGATGCATAAGGCAAAGCCACCTTCTGCGGGACAGAGGGATGGTCCAAGCGGAGACTGTGTATCGGAATATGAGCTGGGTTAACTCAGCCAGAACAAATTAGGACAAGACAAAAGGGACCAGCAAGGATTTTCCCATTGTTTCTCCCCACAATGAAATAAATGACTGTAGGCTACGTGCGCAGGCTGCTAAACCATTTTGGCACAAAATTTTTTAGGCTTGAAATCTCAAAGAAAGGCAAACTTGTATTTCCTTCTGCTCCTAAGCCCTACAGTAAACACCCAATTGTCATTCTGCATGAAAACAAAGGCCTTGAAGCTAAATGGGGGAAAAAATTAGCGATGTTTTTCACTACCATTTTACATCTTGATTCTTTATCTCAGTACTTCACCTTGAAAGTTGTAAGTCTACATACTCCGGATTAAAGACTCACTTGAAGGAGGGGATGACTGGGATGATCTAAACTTCCAAACTAGCCCATCTCCTTGGCACTGGCGGCTGAGACCTCAGTGTGCTCCTTTGAATCTTACAATTTATGGCATATTAGCTTTACCATCATGGTGTGTTTCTCCTTTTGAAAAGGTGAAAATAGAGTCAAGAGCCTTTCTCTCCAGTCCCAGTTCTGATGTACACACTCAGATGTCTCTACATCTGTATGTCTCTGCAGCTAGATTTTGGTAGTAAGGAATTTGTGCAGAGAAAAAAAATCACCCCAAATGGTTCATTTTAACAACTCCACTGACACAGCACCCTGCTGCAAGGGGGCGAGGGAAGTCCTTACCTTTGAGCTACACTTGTAGAGGGGGTGGCTGATGGAGTCGACATAGTGATGCCTCATACAGCGGCTGGGGTCGGAGTCGATCATGAAGGAACTGTCTGTTTTACTGTCCGCGTCTCCCATCATCGCCAGGAGCGAGAGCATGGAAATCGAAGCTGCAAGTACATGATTTCCCATTGTCGAGGAACTTCTCACTGATAACAGCAGAGGGAGGTAGAGTATTAAAAAAACTCCAAATACTGGCAGCCAGTTCCTTTCCAGGATGGTGAAAAGTCTGGTTTAAGTCTCTTAGCTGTCATTCTTCGTCTCGAGTTAGAGTTTGCTGAGATTGTAATCCGTCAAAGAATCTCCTGCGTAGCTAGAATAAAAACAATATAAATCACAATCCTGACCAAAAAGACCTCTGGAGGAAAACAGACGTAAATAATATTAAGGCACACAGGATTTTTGCTAGCCAAAATATACGCTCTGAGTGAGCATCATTCCCACAGTAGGTAGAGTATATCGCATTAGGAAGGAGATGTCAAGGCCTTATTACTTTAAGCATTGCTCTATCATTTTACTGGGGAGAACCTTTTGACTTTTAACATCACAAGTGGTACAATGCCAATCTTTTTCACTTGGCGATGTCCCTAATGGGTTCCCCTCAAAACTGGTGATAAGTAGCACATCAGAGATTTCTGCAAATTGAAAGGACTGTGTATCCACTCAAAGTGTCAAAGTGGTGGGGGGGCAAAGCTAGGCTGCCTCCTGCATTACAGATGGGAATTTCTGGCCTAGGTAGCACATGGAAAGTCTGGAGGCAGGTTGGCCCCTGGCTCTAGGGGCTGCATGTCGGTCTCCTGCAGTTGCTGTGCTGCAGGGACAAGGGGTAACCCCTGGCTGGAGGGATGCTGAGGGTCTGAGCCCAGGCATGAGCAAAGCTGTCCCCCAGGAAGCTTGCTGAGCACCGACCTGCATTGCATGGAGGACCACCCGGCTCTCTGGCTGCCCTGCCCTCCTGAGTACCAAACTCACATGCACACAGGTGTTTACTTGCTTACTTGTCAGGCTGCACTTGCTCAATGTTAGTCTCTTACCCATTAATTAAAGAGAAGCCTCTGAAAAATACATTGGATTCCATAGCGTGCGAGTACATCCCAGCTATCAATTGGGAAAAAAAATACATGCAGGTGGAGTCACGTGGATATCCACCCAGGCACCTGGATTGCTGGTGCATGTTGGAGACCAGGAGATCCCCCAGAAAACAGGCGCAGGACAGCCCCTGCAACGCTGCCTGGAGCTCTGTGTCGGTGGGGGAAGGAGGGCATCTACCTCAGCTGCTTCATCACAGCCCCTTGATCCTTCTCACAAAGCCCTCAGTCTCAAGTGGGTGATTTAATTTTGCTTTTACTACAAACAGCTATAGCTTGAAAGAGCTGTGAATTATCCATCTAAATACAACCTGATGAAGCAAAGGATAGTCATAAGTAAAGTTAAAAGCGCAAGGACTTTCTGAAGAAACTTGTGATAAAACAGTTCCCTGGTCACACAGAAATACTGCCCCAGAGGCTCTTGCCTATTTAAAGAGCTGATGTGTGCCTTTATTGCCTTATACAAGCCTCTTTCAAAACTGTTTACTGGTTTGCTGGTGATACTCTAAACCGACTGATACTCATCTCCCAAACAGCCTGAAATTACGAGGCCTCCCCACCAGAGTGCTTGATGATTTGTGTATTGCTTTATAGCTTGCTCAAACACTTTGGTGAGAGGAGTGCATAGCAGTGAGAAACACTTCCAGAGTTCATCCAAGTTGGGAGTCGGGACTTCTCAGGCTGAAGTGACATACACGGTCTCATGCTGGGAAGAAATGTAATTAGGGATGCTCTGTGTATTAGACATTTTTTAAAGCCTTTTTTGGGTTTCAAGCTATTGTCCATGTGCCTAAGTAGGAAAGAAAAAATGATGTGACTGTCGATTTAAAAGACTTTATTTTTTTCACAGAGTCTGACCTATGACCTACTATATTCTCCTGGAGCAAATGTTTTTTGGTGGATACGGCATTAAAAAGATACTATGTCTTTGCAGTATAAGGAGCTTAAACAACACTAACCACTGAGGATCTCAGATACATTTATACACAGTCTCATTCATGTCAATAAATATCCCTCCAAACATTTTAGCAGGGTAAGAAAGAAATCTCTCCATCATGGGAGCTGGGACAGACTCCTTCCCAGAAGTGAACTGCACTACTCTGGTTCATGCAGATGATGCCCAAGGATTAGCTAACAGGAGGAGTGATGCACTTTTTTTTTTATTTTTTATTTAACCTTTTACCTACATTCCTATTCTTTATAAAGAGGCTGACCAAAACACGCTGCTTGGCAAGGTCTCTTTCCAACATAGTTAATCAGTATTACACACCCAGTAATTCGCTCTCTGTCCAAATAAGTTTACTTGATATTGGACGGTCTCATCTCATGTAATAGTATGTCCAGGGATCCCCATTTCCCACTCTCTCTGTCCCACTGTTAATTTTGTGCTTCTATATCTTTCTGTGTTTTTGATCAGTATGATTTAATACAGTGAGAGAAATCTGGAGTCCTGGCTCTGTTTTCAAAGGCTTATCTCTCTAGTTTTCTTCAGGAAATAATTGGATGACATAGAGTCTGCCTCACGAAAACACTCTGAGAAAGCTGGAAAGAAGCAGGGAAAAATGTGAGAAAAGGAAGACGTCAGTACCTTCTTCAGGATAAGCACAGCACAATACAAAAAGTATTAACACTTTCGCAATCTTTAAAAATTGCCCTGATACTTCCCTGGCAAAGAAATGTAGTGGGCTTTGGTAACAAAACTTTGAAAGAAGAAAAAAGTACGGTTATCACATATTTGTTAGTAAAAAGAGAGACCACGGATGTAAATGTGACCCATCTTTTGTGAAAAAATTGTGTACAGTTGTTGATAGACATACTGGCAAAACGAGTGTGTAGGTATCGGAAGCGGGACTGCAGAAAACACCGGCCTATTTGCACATGCCAGTATCTCCCAACATACCTATGTGAAGTATACAGATACATTTTTCAAGTACATATGCCATATACAATTGAGATATATGGAAAAAAGTCTCACAGGGACATTTAAACATATAGAAGTTAGTGTGTAGATTTCTGATTGTGTAAAAAGGTCTAAATATTTTCACTCAGGTACATCACTGTGATGAAGTATGTTGACATGACATTTTCCATTTCCAGCTGATATTATGCAATGGCATTTCACTTTAAATTAGCATTCTTCTTTTTTTTTTTTTTTTAAGTTTATATTCTTTTTGAAATGCTGTCTGAAATTATAAAATCCTAGACAGTACATGACATCGAGTGACATATGTAGTTTCCAGTCTATCCTTCTGTCCAAAACCAGAAGCAAGTACACCTGTAATCATTAATCATTATAGCTGTACTTATGATGGCATTTTGTTTCATTTGGAAAATACAGTTTTTCTACCAAAATCAACAATTTCACACAGAATTTTTTTTCTTTTATTTAGATCTGTTTTTTCCTCAGTTTCTTTTCATGTGAAAAACTGTGGTAAACAGCTCATCTGCCAAGCTAACAAAAAGGAAGCTAAAATGCTTCCTCTTTACAGCATCCTGTAAAGAAAAAGATGCGAAAGTGACTTCATATTCTCAGGCTGAAAATTAGCTACAAAAATATTTTGGTCTAACAGTGGATGAATATCACTACTTCTCATTTTTTCAGAATTCACTGATATGGATATTGCATATTGTTAGCAATAGGCTTATAATGCCCTTTCCATATAACTAGTTTTCAGGAATTCATAGAGACATAACATGCTAAAAGCTGTTACAGCTGTTACCTAAAACTGCTACAGCTGTTACCTAAAAACTGCAGGGAAAAAATAGAAGACATCCCTCAGAAAGACCATATGAACATAGAATCCAAGGCTGTATTGCTCACGGACATAGGGGCAGAGTTAGGGTTATTTTTCCAACTTTATGTTGCTATTAACTGCTTTTTGAATGCTAAAATAAAGATTTTTTATCATAGTAGTGTTAATATCATTTAGAGAGTGGTGAAGGTTTTGTTTTGCTTTAAGGACAGAAGAAAATTCCATCATCTGGAATTATTTAGCCAGTCACTTTGTGAGAACGTAAACAGAAATTCCCTTTTTGCTATGTATCTTGGAAAAAAATAAGGAGCCGAGCAATTCTCCAAAGGTCTATTGGATCTGTACCACTTTTACCCTGGAAGGTAGGGAGTCAGCAATGGAAAAGCTCATTTATGGTGTACTTCTACTAAGCTGTTCCCCGCTCCTGAGCCCCCTGAATTAGGCATGCACGTATGTTCAGCTTGGCCTTCATTTGCTGTGCATTTTCCATGTTTGAGACTCCTACTGAATGGTGAGGGTACAATTCAAGTCACTCAATGCCTTTTATGTTTCGGAGGCTGCCAAAATCCCGTTGGAGCAGCAGTGTGTATATATAACTAAGCCTGGCCTTGCATGCTGTGCATATTCAGTAAACACAATTACTTGGATCCTACCATGTGGTTCCCTCATTCTGAATTTGTTATGTAAACAGAAGAGTTACGAGACTACTCAGCTTCTCCAGACTCCAGCCCCCAAAAAAGCGTCACTAACTATATACATATATATATGTCCGTGTGTGTGTGTAGCTCGCTGCTGCTGTTCTGACAAAAAAGCCACAAAAACCTTTATGAGACCAAAATGAATTTCTCAAGAACTTTATCTAGCCTGGAAAAGTTTAGGCCAGAAAGATGAGGATTTGGGGGTTTTGCGCTCCAAGATTTGGACCGGAGTGGAAACGACTGTTAGGCAGACTACACCAGGGTTACACCAGGGTTTGTTCTGCAGGGTTAAACTCCCCACTGCCATGAGACAGGCCGTGAAAGGGGCTGGGGATGGAAGCCAAGGAGGAGCAATCTGCGCTGGAGACAACCTCCAGTCCCCCAGCCTGGGCATGGGGCAGCGCCGCTGTGGAGTGGTTCTCCAGCCCTGCGACCACATAGCACGGCACGGTCTGTTCCCAGACCTCCTCCAGCCTCCACAGCACTCAGATGGCTTCCAGCCCACGCAACTACCCGCACCATGCTCGGGAACTGCCTGGGAAGCAATGTGTGCTGTGGGACAAAATCGTACGAGTGACCATCTGAGCAATTTAAGAGAACAGTTTGTCTAATAGGAGAGATCACCTAAGATGCTGTGCCTGGTCCTGCTTTCCGTTGAATCAACTCAGAAGCTTTATCAGCTCCAGTGTATGTTTTAGCTCTGTAACTAAATGTAATTGTCCTCTCATCAAGTTATTTTACTGTGGCCATTTCTGTTGCAGCAGTAAAGTAGCTGGCCTCCTGTATATGCTATCAAAATCCTTGCTCCGCTCTGCGGCCGCCTTTCAAAACACCTGACAAAGTCACCGAGCGGCCATCTGGCAGCCGGGAAGCAGCAGGTGAACACAGGGAACTCCAGTTGTTGGTGAAATGCCTCCGTGCAGCATACGAACAGGTTTCTTCCCCTCCCGAGACAGGGCAAATACCAAACTAAATATTTTGAGTGAGATCCTTACAGGTCTAAATAAGTGAAATGCTTTCCTGAGGCCTCGTTGTGCCAAATGAGCATTTGCCCCGCTGACATCCAGCTGTGCTGAAGCTTGTCCCCTTGGACACCAAGGGGAACGTTCTCACCCATCGCAGGGGAGCTCCATCCACCCGTCACCCAGCAGGTTGCAGGGCAGCCCGCGCCTGCAAGGAGGGTACACGAATTTCACGCGCTCCTGGCCAGAGCTGGCAGGCAAGAGGAGGAGGGAAGGAAAAAGGCAGCAGGAAGGAAGACAGGCTCGAAAGAAGGGACTTAAGCCTCTTCATCTGGGTGTCCGCAGGAGGGAAGCACATCTTGTGGTCCTACTGAGGTTGCGCTGTCCTACCGCCTGCCAGCCAGCAACTGCAGAGCATTGTCCCGTAAAAACCAAGAAGATAAAACGGACGCTACCTCTGAGCAGTCAAAAATGTCAAACGCACTGATGGTCGTTGAGAGAAACTCCTGCGCATCGTTTTCTGCTGTGAGGCTTCGCTAAGTCTTTTAATATTT